CAATAAGAGACTGTGCGAGGATAGAGTCTTAGTCAGCCCAGGTTCAGTATTAAGAACCAAGATTAATATATAACAATATTCTACAATTGTGATAGACTTCAAGAGATCTCAGAGCACCCCGCACACACGGGGAGCTAGACCATGTTTATGTTTAGCGATTATCTGTGTCGCGTCATGTTATGGAAAACAACATGGTGTTAGTATAAGTTAGTTCTCAGATTCATTAGTGCAAACTTTAAATTTTAAAGGGTTAAATATGCAGTATTGTTTGGAAATAGTGAGAGGGGCGGGTTAGAAGTTGTATATTTCATTTATCATTATAGTATCTCGTGAATAATGAAACATCACAAACAATATATCGTAGTTATACCTCATTTACTTGTATCTGTGTTCCGTGACTGTAGATGCGCATACTACATAGTGTAGAATATTTCAATATAAGAGCTTCACGTTAATATGCGAGGAATCACAAATAGCACGTCTGGGAAAGCAATCTATGAGTATAACTTTCTGAATTCCTGCAATGTTTGCTGAATTCATTAATATAAGCGCCCCAGAGTTGGCCGATGCGATCCTGACAGTTGGGAGACGATCTGGTGGTCAACGTCTCTGAATCCATCCATTAATGCAGACCACTTGATAATTTTAGACAAGAAGTACTTTAATTGCTCTCACCCTTGGTGGGTGCGATGTACAGTGTTGGTGCAATACTTGACTTCTGTTCTCATGTGGCCTCGCTCTTCTTAGTGAGGATATACACTATGATTGGCCGTATTATGCGCTCAATACGCTCCTCTTGATTATGTGTGTGGCGCGCTAACATCAACATTATCCATGAAGTGTTGTTTTACTCACTTCCTAGCGCGGCCCGGACAGTGCATACGTCTAATATATATCAATATGAAGACTCAATAAGTGCTTCGCGCTCTTGAAATAAATTATAAAGGTCCCGTTCATATATAGTTGTACAATTCACACTGTATACAACATCTAATTATCCTACATATATCTAACCAAAATATTCACAATATTCATACTTATATACAATGATTAACATGAGCACACCTCATATGGTTAATCGATAATCATAAATCTCCCTCTCCAAAATACTCAAAAAACTGACATACAGAATGCGACTGTGGCGCGAATAAACCCAATACTAGCACTCCCTTCTCTGTGTGCTGTCTGCTCACGTCGGGTTGCCTGAGGTCTATAAAACGCGTACCCCTTTAAAATACGGCGGAAATGTGAGTGTTTCAGACGAATCACAAGATTGTCTCATGCTCTTCTATGATTACTTAACCAATAGAGTTTAGGCCATATATGTATCGTAGTGTCAGAGGTACGGAGAAATCACAATATAAGAACAGCATATGAATGTCTCGACATGTGCGCATAACTCTGTTAGACCAACAGAGGCTCTCAACACATACTCATATAAACAACCATGTGGCTGACATGAACTATGATGACCTCATTCCTGAGCGCCAGGGTGCGGCGGCAGAGTTGACAAATAATTGTACTCCTGGTGCAGATGTCTCTGCACTGTTGAATTAAGAGTTGAGATTTAATACGCGGACAAAAATAAAAAATATCCAGTGTCCTAACATTCGATTTTCAGGTGAGAGCTTTTTTCAAGATATAGGGAGCCCACGACGGAACAAGAGCCCACATGCTTTTAAGTGTAATATTTGGACTTTTACATTAAGGCTCTCAATTGTTATCAAACTTGTTCGTCGGAGAAGCATTATTTTCTAAGACTATTAAATCACTCTCAATAGACCAGCTAGAGAAACCACTGAGAAATCGCATTTTTCGAAAATTACAAAGAATTACAGTATATCTAGATAGTCCCTGATTAGGTTGGTAGTACTTGAAAATAGCTAATTACAGGTTTCTCAGGCTATCTCGATAATAGCGACAAGTATGCGCACTTAGTCTAGTATCATACATGCTCTTTTTCTTCACTCATTCATAGCCAATGTTATAACTCATCAAAGTTGCATCTTGTAGATGGGAACAACTGGACCACACACGCCTAACTCAAATCATGATGGTATTATTATTCTATCTATATTTGAACTCATACGCTGGTTCCTCAACAAGAATGCGGCAAATTCATGTGCGGTTGAACGCTTGTAATAATGCTGGTGAGACTGCTCAAAACTCACTTCGTACAATACTTTCTCAAAAGAACGTAAATGATAACATACTATATGATATACTAACTTAATTTCTCCTCTCTTATGTACTCTCGTACTTATCGCGTAGTATCGACGTGCAGAATTCACAAGAGAAATTCAAGCTGTGGCGATGCTTTTGTCTCCTATACCCTAAGATCAAAGCTGTACAAGGTAAACAAAAAATCTTCTCATCTGCTTTGAGACACATTTAAACCCATTCATTGGTGTGATCAGCGTGCGCATTCTAGAATGAATTCATACCCTTGGAAAGAGGCGGTTCGTTGCACGCGAGAATGCGTGCGTGGGAGTGTCCATGTTCTTTCTCTACTTCGCTGATATTTATGGCGGTTATGCAGATGGAAGGTTCTCGTCAGACAGATAAGCCTCACCTCAGGTGAACCATAAGAGGCAAACCAAAACTGTAAAATCTCCACTTTTCGCGTGTGGCATCTACATGTATTGTTACACTAGAGCTTAAAAAAATGTTTAAATATTTGAAAAGATTTTTATAAAAAATTACGCATCCTCTCAAGCTGTCGTCTCCCAAACACACATAAAGCTTCCCGTGCTCGATGGTCTCTGTGATTGTGGCCGGATTCTTAAAGCGCACTACTGATGTCTCTCAGGGTAATGCGAGTGCCTCAGCAACTGTGCTCCAAATCAGCTATTAGTGGTGTCATGAACCTATACTCAATGCTCTCTCGTCGAACAATCGAACGTAGGTCAGCACACGTTGAGAATTGTGTCCAAAGACTTTTGACTTGGTACTGTGGTTAAGTCTGAACTAAACCGTGTGTTCTAGGACCATGTACAAACCAGGATAGGCAAACCCCAAGGTCCACATCAGGACTTACACTTGTGGGTGGGGTTTAACATTGGCAGCGCTCCCTCGGCCAGGATGTTGGCGGCTCTGTTTGGGTGGATCAGGTCTGGGCTATCCCATTACCTGTCTAACCAGGCGAATACCTTATAAATCCAAGCAGGTAGAATGATAAGTATCAAAGTCTTACACTTGAAAAAGCATATGAGCGAGTCGACTTAAGCCATTGCCTATTCCTATGTCTCTTTCACCGGCCTGTGTACTCAGGGTTGGGGAGGAACATAAAGTGTGAGTAAAACAGATAAGCCAATGCCAGTAGTCAAGTACATTATTGCATTTTCTCCCCCGTTGTGCTCAGCTAACGGCAGGAGCTACTTTACTCCTACGTACCTTCCTACATCCTCTCCAGACAATCTTGTCCTCCCACCTTCGTCCGATAGGTATTCTCCTGTCTTTATGTAACGCTATGCGCGATGTTCCTAAGCACAACCTCATCTCGGTGCGAGTGTTACCATGGGATAACCCTCTCCCACTGAGAAAGAGACCGTCATATTTACCAAGAAAACAAAAGGGGCATACACAAGCCAAGCTGGAAACGGTGAAAAATAACAACCGTCTCCGTAAACAAAACATGCCTCCCTGACAAACAACAATTCGTAAAATATTGTTCTCTTAGCCCTTTCAATTAACCCCACCTATCCTATTTATACAATTCACGAGATCTGTTTCATCGGCTGGAGCAAACTTGGTTTTATAGCTATAGAGAATCGGACTGTAATTTGCGACCACAGACGTGTGAGCCAGCAGTGTATAGTTATCCAGATACAGTGTCTGCCGAAATAGCCACCTCATAAACATGGACTGTCCCTTCAATGTGAGAGAGCAGCTCGACTGTAACTCTGAAAGCGTGTGGCCATGTATGGACTGAGTTGCTCCTTCAACTTCCAATGTTCATCCTCTATGTTTTGAACTCTCAAAGCTAAAAAACAAACTACTTTTCAGAGTAATACTTTTAAAACACAGAATCTCATTAAACACTGAGGAGTGATTAGGCGAAAGTGAGGGAGACAAACGCGTAGATATTTTATGATTTTTTGTGACTGTAAAATGATTTATTATGGTCTGGAATTATACTCCTTCCTAACTGAATACACTTTGGCTTATGTACAATCTGAATCCTCCGTGTATCTGAGACAAATACGCGTATGTGGTCTCGACTGAAGACTCTTTTGCATACCTCACTGCAATGTGTGGAGCGAGACCAACAAGAGAACAAGGAGGTACAATCAGATGGCAACAAATAACAACTGTAACTGGAGTGCGAACTGAGCCCACTCTGATCCTGCGCTGAGCGCGTGCTGGACGTGATGCCATGGGTGAAGTGTGTGACAAGTGGACGAGCCTCTCACGAATAGCTCCCATCCACTGAGAGAGATGCGAGGCCTGACCACCAAGCCTCGCCTATCCAATCCTTAACATCTAGGGTCCTATATCCTAACCTATCCGTTCCTGGGTTTACGTGCGATATGGTAAAACTAGATACGTGTAAAAAAGGCTCAGTGCTACCAAAGCCTATCATTACGTCTGCGGTATTTTCACACTGACTCATTTCTGGGTTTCTACACACCAGTCTGAATTCAGGGTAGGGCTCAAGGTATGTAGGCCTCACACTACTGGGCACAAACTGATAATCAAAGGTTGAAACAAGTAAATTAAACACACAAAATGATGCTGGCCATCTGGCTGTGGATCCAGGTGGAAGTGTATGACACTAGAGCCCCACACGGAGCGAGTCATCATTTACACTGTCATCTGTCAGCTGTAGGCGTTGTAATGATACACGACCAAAGCATACTCATCTCTGGCCCTGTGACCTCCAACCTATGACAAATACCTTATACTTGTATTAGGCCAGCCTGTAGAACCCTGAGCCTTACCCTGAGTCAGCTTGTAGAACCATGAGTCAGTGTGAAGAACCAGCCTGTAGAGCCCTGAGCCTTACCCTGAGCCAGAGTGTAGAAGGCCCTGATGGTGGAGGCGTTGGTGGTCAGGCTGATCTCCTCATCAGACATGGAGCTCTCCACGTCCACGGTCAGGGCGCTGTGCAGGTCTGCGTACAGGTTATTCACCATGCCCGTGGGGAACGTCACATTCATGAGCCGGCCCTCGCTGTCGTAGCTGCAGCACACAAATGTACAGTGGAGGAGACGTTATCAGAACATTATCAAACTAAATTTGGTTTCATCCAGGCTTAACTCCAGGTTTAGAATTGGTTTAGAAAAGTTTCTAAGTTTTTTAGCTTTGAGTAATGACCGAAAGAACAAGATCACGGATATAAGCGTTCGAAATGAGAGACAGGGTGAGGAGCTCAGTCACACGGGAGGAGCTCGGAGTACAGCCGCTGCTCCTCCACATTGAGAGGAGCCAGTTGAGGTGGCTCGGGCATCTGTTCTGGATACTTCCTGTGCGCCTCCCTCGGAAGGTGTTCCAGGTATATCAGACTGGAAGGAGGCTTCGGGGAAGACCCAGGACACGCTGGAGGGTGTCTAGGACACGCTGGTCTAACAACTTTGGAGGAGCTGGAGGAAGTGTCTGGGGTGAAGGAAGTCTGGGAGTCCCTGCCCCCGTTACCCGGCCCCGGATAAGCGGAAGAAAATGGATGGATGCTAAGTCGAGTTCTTTTCAGTGTACATACTTATTCTGGTTTGGTTCTGGTATAAACACAGTGTAGTCCTGATGTGGACTTGGGTTTGCCTAAATCCTGGTTTAGTAATGGTCTAACCACGGTTTAGTCAGACTTACACTACCAGTCAAAAGTTTGGACACAATTCTTCATTTTTGTTTTTGCTTTATTTTCATTACTATTTACATTTTAGATTCTTACTGAAGGCATCAAAATTATGAATGGACTCAGATGGACTGGAGTAAACAAAAAATAAACTCAAAAATAACATTTTAGCTTTTAAAAATAGCCACCCTTTGCTTTGATCACTTCTTTGCACTCTTGCCATTCCATTCGTGAACCCTGCACCAGTGAAGTGAAAACCGTTTTAGGTGAATTCATCAAGAAGCTCACAGAGAGAAGGCCAAAGCAGCACTGTCGACAAGGCAAAGAATGGCTAAAATTTGGAGTTTGGATGTCAAATTGTAAAAAAAAAAAAAAAAAAAAAAAGTAGTTTAGAGTTATTTTACTCTTTTTGCTAAGAAATTTATCAATATCTTGCGTCATATATTTGCCATTTTGTAGACAGTAGTAATTATGAAGAAAAAAAAAAAACACTGAATGAGAGGGTGTGTGCAAAATGTCGATGCACTTTGATGGTAAAGTAGATGCATGATGATTACAGTGCAGCGCTTTGAGATGCTTGTCAAACCTGTAAAGCATTATTTATTCCACCTATAGGCTTAGTATAGTCCTGGTTTCTTGTCTGTGGTCTTGGTTTAAGTCTTAGAAAATAATCTTCTCGACTAACAATATAAACCACTGAGAAAAAGTCCAATATACTTAAAAAGCATGTGGGCTTTTTCTCGCCATTTAAGAAAAAGTCTCACTGATAATGAATGTACAGGATTATTTTCTTTTTCATATTACTTTTCAGGCAGGACACGACAGCATTTTTGTCAAACTCTGCCGCCGGTGAAATGTCAGCACGTTGATATGTGTGAGAGCCCTCTGTGCCATAGTGCCTCTAATTATCAGCTCTTTTATCCACTCTGAGTACCACCATCAACATTATTGTAATTAAAACGTCATTTTATCATTCCGCTGTTTTAAGGGCCGTCTTCTATCAGCCCGAAGTGAAAAAGTCCAAATATTTGATAAGGGTAAGTGGCACGTCTCGTCATCTTTTGGGGTTTGCATAAAAGCCAGACTTGTAATGAAGTGAATTATTTGGATGATTGATGTGTCAGTGTAATTTTCATTGAAGGCGGTGCTTTTATTTCTGCGAGCGTGCCGTTCGGTGGTAATGTGACATGACAGAGGATCACACAGAGGAGCTGAGGCAGGGCCATTAGGATTCTACATGACACCAGCCTGTGTTTCAGGTGCCACACTGTACAGACACTGAAGCCTCTTGCTATTATCAAGTCTGATAATGGAGGATTCAAACGTTTGACCACTGTCTCCACTGTCAGATCACACAATGGGCTCTATATGATTCAGCAAACTTCAAATGAAAGTATACTATTCTTACAGGGTCCATGTACCAATCGTTCTTTTGAATTTCAATTAAGAACGAAAAACAGTAAAATGGGAAAACTGTTTTTTATTTCATTATTCAGATTTAAATAACATTTCAACCTCTATTTCCAACATTTAATTTAAAGTTTATTTCAAATAACACCGATCTAAAAACAGTCATCGTGCCCATTTCAAATTTGATATTTTATTCTCTCTGTTTTTTTTGCCCCAGAAGTTCTGCTGCTAGAAAGACTTACCTGAAAAATCTTTGCTATTTTATGGGCAAATATGTTCTCTTCTTTTATCGTGATGCTTTTACTTTTGCGTCTTAGAAAGTCATTGTTAAACTCCATGATGAGAAACATGAAGCAGCGAATTCACACACGGCGTGCTAAGCAGCAAAACTTCCGGGTGAAATAAACCAGAGAGAATAAAATATCTAAATTAAAATAGGCACAGAAACAGTTTTTTGATTGGTGTAATTTGAAATAAACTTGAAATTAAATATTAGAAACAAAGGTATTTTTTTGTTTGACACTAAAACGGAAAAATTAAATAACTGTTTTCCCATTTTATTGTTTTTCATTCTTAATTGAAATTCAAAAGAACAAATGGTACACGGACCTTTATAGATAAAGATTTTGATTTATGTTTCTTCCATTGTTGTTTTTACTCTTCCAACTTTAGTCTCATTTTAGATTCCTGATTACAGTCGTCTAGTCTGTGATATTGTCTTTTCTGATAGCTTGAGGGAAACACAGCTGTGATACAGGAAACAAGTTAAATCAACTTTTTTCTGAATATTTATTTGGTCCTTAGGCTTTGTAAAACAGCACAGATGTACTGTAACTTTAGTACTGTGCACTATGAAATCCATACTTATGTGCTGCAGCGTTCCCAACATAGGGAGAGGGGGCTTCCTTGTCAGAAGATTCCCGGCGTGTGCCCACATAGTCTAGATTATCAAAAATATTATTCCATGCAAATTAAAAAGTAAGTATAGCAACACATTAAACAAAGGAGAAAAGGCTGTCAGCAAAGACATTCATATAAACATTCAAAAACACTGCGCCACACAAGTAAAAAAAAATATTACACACGCTCATTCACAGTTTTTTTTTCTTTAGATTTACTACTTTGTCCAATTTTTAGATCCATATGCAAGACGGCAAATATATGATGTAATATATTCGTCCATTTTTTAGCAAAAAAAAAAAAAAAAAACATAACTGAAATAACTCCTCAAAGTATTTGGAGTACATTGAGTTTTCAACAGTGGCGCAAACTCTTGGCGTTCTCTCAATGAGCTGAAATGGTTTTCACGTCACTGGTGCCTTTCCAGGGTTCATTAGTGGAATGGCAAGAGTGCAAAGCAGTGATCGAAGCATGTTTAGTTTGTTTTGTTTACTATATTCCACGTGTTCATTCATAATTGTGATACCTTCAGTGAAAATCAACACAAAAAAAGTAGTAATAGTAATAGTAGTTGTACTCATAACTATAGTAGGATTAGTAATGAAAAGAAAGCAAAACCAAAAATGAGAAAGTATATTTTTACTGGTAGTTAGGGATGTAACGATATCCAAAGCTCATGGTACGATATTATCACGATATCCCTCTCATGGTATAATAATTATTGCGATATTTTGGAGAAGTTAACACAATTATACATACTCTACTTTTTTTCCTTCTTAAATACCTTGATCAGTCTTCAGCGTGGATCATTACTGCCATATTCCAAAGAAATAATATTACAAGTGCTTAGAACAGTTATTTTATTAGGCAGTACACTAAGTAAAGGATCATGGCCTATGCAGTTCGCTCTTTTATAATACTTTAAAGTGAAAAACCTTGCAATTTGATATATTGTGATGGACCACGATATTATTGTGAGAGTTCTGGTGAAAGGATATCATGATATTTAGGTTATTGTTACATCCCTACTGGTTGTGTTTGCATTACCAATATCAATGGCAGCATACCTAAATGCTATGTTAGTTTACCTAAATGCAAAGTTTATGTACATAATGGGACTCACTCAAAAAATGTGGTCCAGCCGATCTCGGAGGTCTTGGTTGCCAGCAGCCCGTTGTTTCCGTGGTAGGTGAGCAACACCAACTCCTGCCCCTGCGCTGTCAGAGTCTTCAGCCCTCCGTTGGTTCCCATGGACAGCCAGATGACCTGGTTGTCAGGGGCAACGATCCTCACAGGCATCCTGTTGGCGTCGCGGCGGATCCTCAGGGTGTTCCCGCTGCTGTCTGTTACCGCGGTGACGTCGTTCTCTGTGCTATAGCCAAAGGTGTACTTGAGGTCTCCCGTGAGCAGGTTGGCGGTGTGCTGGTGCGTGCCGTTAGTGTCAAACACGTAGAGCTCCTGGGCGTCCGGAGAAGCCACCTGTCCCACAGAGAGATTAGAAAAGCACATTCATATTCACTTTCAAAAATGCGTACATTTCAAATATGTAAAAATTATATGTTGATTTTATTGCCAACAGTTGTGCTGATGTAAAAAACACATGATTTTATGCCTCCATTATTGCATCCATACCATAGAAAATGTACCATTATAGAAATTGTACAGCCTCACCACACTGCTACTGTCTTTGGCCTGGTTACATATACACAGACATTTTTCTCTGAACAAATATTATGTCCAATGTCCATTCATTTGCATAAAAGCTCTGTCCACAGAAAAGCATTTGGCAAACAGACTACACCACATGGCACCACTACAAACACTCAATATAAGATCTCTTATAAATGGAAGCAATTTCACAATTAAATGTAATTAGTGCTAATTTTGCCAAACTGTTGCTCACAGCTGCTGTTGTGGCGTTGCTTACCGATAGCCAATGGTCAGTGTGGACAGAGCAATTACTGCAGCTTAGATTAGATGAGAATAAAGATTTATCCATGGTCATGGTCAGGAAAAAAAACAAACTACTGATTAGAGTTAGCAGCTCATTGGCCCAGCTCTTATCTCATGTTCTCTGGATTCTTATCTCTGCCGTGACCAAAATGTTACGATGAAAAAAAATATTTATCTGTATGACATCACATTTTAGCATGTGTTTAGCCAAGTCATTGTTTGATTTCTTAATACAACTATTTTTTGCATGTGCTTAATATTATATTGTTTCAGATTTGAAATAAACTAGGAGTCAGGTTGGAGTGTGACATTTAGGAGAGCATCTGATAGAATTTATTCTATCTAAGTTTATTCACATATACACATTTTGTATGCAAATGATAATTATACAATAATTATTACTATAAGTTAATACTGTAAATGTAAATACCATATTTTCCGGACTATTGAGCGCACCTAAATATAAGCCACATCAACTAAATTTTAACAAAATTTTAAAATTGTACACATACAGGCTGCACCTGAATATAAGCCGCAGGTGTCCACGTCTTCAAGAACGTTTTCAAGTTCAGACCATCTGCTTTTATCGCCACTGAAAGCTTTTGTCGTCTTTTTGCATTGAGTCAGTTCATCATGCGCCATTGCCAACGTCTCACCATCGACTCATTGATGCCAAGCTCACATGCTGCAACTCTCTTTCCTTCTTCGACAGTCACATCGATTGCCTTTAACTTAAAAGCTGCATCATCTGGATTTCTTCATGTGTTTTCCATGAGGAGGGTGTGTGTATGAAGCGCAAAATAACTGTTCAAAACCTCCTCGGCGCATCACCCCCATCTCTCTCCTGTACTCTACCGCACATGACTCCTGCAAGAGCTGCTGTCTTGTCTTCATGTAGGATTTCAGCAGAGTTCAGATTCTCTCGGGGGTGGGGCAAGTTCTATCAATCAGGTATGATTGATAGAATATAATATATAATGGGGTGTTCGGCTACTGAAGTTTGACACGTTTCTTCTCGTCATTTACACATACGGGTAAGACGTATCCCCCTCACTAATGTTCATTTAGCATCATCTTATTTTATCACACAGCGATAAACTATTTGAGTAACTGAGCAACTTCATGTTAACCCAAGATTCATGTGTAATCGCACACACACAGCAGAGTTCTCTGCACTCAGGCTGCGCGCATCCGCTGTGTTGCTAAACCACAGACCGTATATACGAATGGACAATGTGCCAAACAAATAATCTGTCCATATATTCTCCGCATCGTTTTGTTAGCTGCAGGGTTCAAGGTTTGAGAAAAAAGTAGTGGCTTATAGTTCGGAATTTACGGTCAAGTCAATTAACAACCCAGTGTTTTATTACAACTTGAGAAAACACCTCACCTCCTTGTAATGTGGTTAAGAGTTGTAAAAGGCTACAGTTACATAAAAGAATACTGTAAATAATTCAATGTCAGTACTTTTTGTATCTGTTTAACTAGATCCATACTGAAAAATAAAACAGATTTTGCATCCAATGTCTGTGATTTGTGCCTTGTTGACCCTCTTGATCTACAAAATGTTTTAGTTAAGTTGAATTCTTCACGTTTACCAGAACACCTCACCAGGGGAAACCTTGCCATCTCACCTCATAAGTGCCACCGCTGAATGTTGGCCCGTTCCTGGAGATCGCTCTGATCCTGATGTTGCCCAGGTCTGCCACGTAGAGTGTCCCGTCCGGAGCGGCCACCAGCGAGGACGGAGCGTTAAGCCGGGCGTCTTTAGCGTAGCCGTCGCCTGTCTGGTAGCAGTCACAGTTCGCATCGTTCTTACAGTCGCACTCAGAGAGAGCCCCGGCCAGATGAGTGATCTCCCCGTCCACAGAAACCATCCGGATGCGGCTCATTTTGCGCTCGTCTGTCTCAGAGATGTAAATGGCGCCGTGGTACGAGATGGCAATGGAGACGGCGGATTCCAGAGGGGTGAGCAGTGCCCTCTGACCCCCAGCCACACCCCTCTCGAAGGCGGCGAGCGGGCAGTGGGTGGGGCGGCCGGCGGCGATGCTGACCTGTCCGGTTTCTGTGATACGCAGGACGATGTTGTTGTCCAGAACATACAGAGAGTTGTCCATCGGGCTCACGGCCAAATCTGTGGGCCACTCCAAGATCACCTGAAACGAGGTCATAAATAGTGAACATAAGAAAGATGCAAAAGGAACAGCAATTATTTTATCACATTTAAAAAAAAAACTATTAACACTAAAGGTGCTGTACCTCAGAGCCCTGCATGGGGCCATTTATCAAGACCCGCACACTCCCACACCCGCACAGTACAGCACCACACCCGTGATAAATCAGGGTCAGCCCATTAGTCTGACAGCCCAATAGTCCAGGACTAAACCAGGACTAAACCAGGACTAAACCAGGACTAAACCAGGACTGAACCAGGACTAAACCAGGACTGAACCTGCGCTGTGTATATAGTGGATTATAAATAAATACACGCCGCAACTGCAGAACGGATTGCCAAGCATTACACCAGAACTGGACCAGGACTGGACCAGGAGTACACCATTAGTGAACCAGGACTTAACCAGGACTACACCAGGACTACACCGGGTCTAAACCAGAACTAAACTAGGACTGAACTAGGATTAAACCAGGACTGAACCTACGTCATGTCATTAGCGGATTATAAATATACACACACCACAACCACAGAGCTGATCGCCAGGACTACGCCAGGACTACACCAGGACTACACCAGGACTACACCAGGACTACACCAGGACTACACCAGGACAGAACTAGGTCTAAACCAGGACTTAACCAGGTCTAGACCAGGTCTAAACTAGTGTCATCAGCATAAATGTATACATGCTGCAACTGCCAAGCCGATCGCCAGGACTAAACCAGGACTGAACCAGGACTGAACCAGGACTGAACCAGGAGCGCAGCCGCCGAGCCGATCGCCTCTGCTGATGGTTTTATGTAATAAATACCCTAAAATGACTCTCTCAGCCTAGTCTGCCATCGTTTCAGGAAAAGACCAGGACTGGGCACTTGTTTCCAGGGCATTGGACGTCCTGGACGCACATCAAGTATTTTTCTATCGCTTGTACCGTTCATCTGATTCACCTGACCCGCCCGTGTGTAATCACTACCAGCCCGCATACCCGCCTGTAAAACTCCAGAACGTGAAAACCCGCCCGTTTTGGCAACTATTTGTGGGTACCCGGCACAGGACTCTGTTGTACTTGTTTTTTACAGTCTTAAAACATGAACAAGTAAACAATAAAAGCATCCTAATTATTCACCACGATGAGTTTATACAGTAAGTGCTTTTCACAACTCTCAAAGAGTGAAGTTTTACTCTGATGGTAAAACTAACAACAACTAACGTGCTCTATCATCAACATAAAGCACTTTCTAATGAGATGCAGACTGAACACAGCAGACTTATATCTACCTCAAGAGCTACTTATCCCTACAGGGCAAGAGAAATTTTACTCATAATACATAGGATGTACATACACATTTTGACATATTTGCTCTTAGATTTACTTGCATTTCAGTTTCCCGATTGTATTGCATGCTCTGAGAGTTTGTCTGCAACAGCTTGAGGATATTCTCCAGCTGTAGTATTTTATAAAAACAAATAAGTTGGTGGCAGCAGATCAATATATTGTTAATGTGTTGTAATAATAAAAAAATTACCTACTTTTCTAAAATAATTCACCCTGATTTGAATGATTATTAACATATGCTTATTAACATGTTACAAATGACATAATAACGTTAACTTTACTCATTATTCAAATATGAGTCACAGTTTCCTTACACGTTGAAATTTCTTTCCTAAAATGGTTAAATGTATGCCGTTGTACTTTTACAAAAAACAGTGACTTGCATTTTTGAACTTGCTAAAGTGAAATTCTTTGCTTCTGTGAACAGGAGAAAACTGGGCATTGTAAAAGTGCTTTGGCCTTTGTAACGTGGACCTATTCATGACACCTGTTATTTATGGTATTTCAGATGACTGGTTTATATCTATATACAAAAATATAAAGGTGTCAGAAGCTCATAAGCCTTTTCCTGCAGGCTGATTAGTCATTTGGAGCATCCCTTTAAGGCTCACTGCAGTGAACCAGGGCCGCTCTGTCTCGCCAAATGTGGGTCTTCACGGGCTTCCGGTAATTCACTTGCTTCGTTAGCTTAAAATGACAATGTTAATCCCTTGTTCCTGTCTGCTTTCATCTCCTCTCCTGCGTGTTTGCAACCCACACAACCAAATAGACTGTTTACTGCTGACTTCAAAATGCTTCAATATGGACACAACTGTTAACTATGAGAGTCAGTAGCTCGACATTTGACTATTTACCACAGGTGGGACCAAGTTGTTGTTTTGCATGTCTCAAGTAAGTCTCAAATCTTTTACCTCAAGTCCGAGTCAAGTCCCAAGTCAAAGACAGGCAGCTCCAAGTCGAGTCTCGAGTCACTGGCCCATAAGTCTAAGTCAAGTCCAAGTCCTCTGCTTTGAGCTTCAAGTTATTTCAAGTCTTTAAACCAAAAAAGTGCCAAATAACTTAGATTTATGCGATTTATAAGACTTTTAAACTAAATTGTACTTAAATAGTTACGGTATATGAGTATTTATATAAGAGTTGTTGAAATGCTGATTTTTCCTTTTAAAATGTCTTGAGAAGAGTGCAAATTATTACAGTCAGAATAGAAAGAATTAAGATTTAAGAGCGCTTTAAGAGCACAGTTATTTTGTCAAGTAGTCTGCACTGAAATGGATGGATCATAGTCTTTGTAGTTCCCTCTGTTTTACTGTATTGTACTGTGTATTACTGTAGTACATTTGAGGATACCACATCACAGTACTTCCGTTACTGTTACTCCCAAATTAAAAAAAATAGAGAGGTGGGAGGGATAAAAAAAACAAAAAAAAAACAAAAAAAAACATATTTTTTAGGTGAAGAATCAAGTCTTCTCAAGTCACAGGGCTCAAGTCTGAGTCAAGTCCCAAGTCATTGACCTTTAAGTTCAAGTCAAGTCCCAAGTCTTTGTCTATTTTATTTAGTCAAGTCTCAAGTCCTAAATATAGTGACTCAAGTCTGACTCGAGTCCAAGTCACGACTTACAAGTCCCTACCTCTGCTACCTACAGTAAGAAGCTTTGAATCTTGAGTCTTTAGTCTTTATTTAAATTTTTTTTTTAGATCCACCTCTGAATGTCTACACCCACTCTTTATGGACATTTTCTATTGCTTATTGCTATGACTGTCATTTTATGTTATTATAAATTATCCAGGATAACTTGTGCAGATGTTCTGGTACCCAGCAGATTACAGGCAGATGTTGTAGGTACTGCAGCAACAGCTGAAGTTCCCAAGACAAAAACAAACGCCTTCCTGGGCCCACATGGAGTTCATAGTCCAAAAAGCTGGTACTTATACTGAAGCTTATCGTCCTATAGGAGGACCACTAAGTACAAGGACTTGTCAGGAGCTGCCAGCCGACATGGTGGAGAGCCAGATGATTCCTGATAGAGGAGATGGGTGCACAGGCATAGAAGCCAAGTCACCATCCATAGTTTGTTCTCTAAAACCACAGGAGCCGCAGAGAAAGCCTCAAGATGGCCGTGTCAAACAGAAGAGAACCACTGGGACAAGGGAGCTAAGCACCCATCTGGTCACAACTTGAGTCTGAGTCTCATCACCTCAGCTGGGTCACCTGGAGGAGAGCCCAGGATGGTGGAGGACACAGAAGGATTAATTAGAGCAGAACATCACTGAAGATCTGATCTACAGTTGCCTATAACTGTAGATAACTATTGGTTTTGGATGCAATCAGTCATTTAATTTAATTTGAGAAGCAAACTTCCAGAATACAGTGATTTCTAAATGAGAGCATTTGTTAATGTGAATATAAAAATGATACACTTATTCGATTGCTTCATATTTAGTGAAATCACAGTCATAGTCTCCAACAGTCCAGCTCTAAGCCTTAACAAGATTAAAATGGCGCTCATACAAACATGAATACTGAGTTTCCTAATCTCCGTCAGAGAGCTGTCAGGGTAAGCGTCTGTGACTGACAGCACTTTCCTCACAGCTGTCCGTCACAGTGGCCCAGTCTGGAAAGCAGAACCCCAGCGCTTTTACAGTCTCAAGGCTCACTCCATATAAGAGCATTTATGTATGTAGTTTAACAGCAGGGACACAGCAGGCTCTGTCCTCACTGCAATTTAGAGTAGACTGCCATTATATTAACAACTCCACAACTTCACTCAAGTTTTCACTTAACATGCTGAACAGCTGAGCCCAAGCCATATTTGCAGTCACTTCTTTAGCAGATAGCGATAGACAATAAACCCAACATTGAAATAAACTAATATTACAATACAGAATATTTCAACATCTGAAAATGAACTGTGCAGCTATCTTAAAATAAAGGATGACTATTGCAATTACATTTTTGCCCCCACAAAGAAGGTCCCGACACATTTCAATATTTAAACAACACAATCCCAGCTAATCTTTATTCTTTTTTTCTGTTTTAAATATATCAATAACTATGTTTTTATGATTAAACCACATAAAAAAGTAATGAGCTGAGCTTGTTTCAGTGTTGAACTCCTGTTGTCAGAATGCATCTTTCTTTTCTACATTTTTTTAGGTTTCGTTGTGACTTTTAAGCAGTCAGGTTTGGGGCGCTATTAATATTTAAGCAAAGAGCTGTTGCAAAAGTGTCATGCATTGTAATTCTATAACCTGTCGCCTGGAGGCAACTTTGTACACAGCAAAAACAATGAATTCAAAAAAACTTATTATTACTAGTATTTTTTAACTATTAGTGGGCTTCACAGTGATGAAAATCTGGAACTGTTGCCATGGCAATTAACAATTATCTTGATGTTAATCTAAGACCCTGTTTACACTGAAACAACTCTGCGTATCACCGTATCGGAAATGATCTGCATCCACACACATCGTTTCTGTGTCTGCAAGCCTTTCTTATCCACACAGCTTTGAGTCTGTGTGTTTACGTTTTACAGAAACGAAACTTAAAACCACATGGCTAATTTACATAAACTGAGAACTCAAAACAGCTGGCTATTGTGCGCTGATGTGGTTCAGCTTCTATTGGATTAAAGGACACGGCTCAATGGATTATGTGTTTGTTCTGTGACAGAGGGGTGTTCTGCTGATGGTGAGTCTGTTCTGTGCTTCTGATGGTTTTATGTAATAAATACCCTAAAATGACTCTCTCAGCCTAGTCTACCATCGTTTCAGGAAAAGACCGGGACTGGGCACTTGTTTCCAGGGCATTGGACGTCCTGGACGCACGTCAAGTATTTTTCTATCGCTTGTACCGTTCATCTGATTCACCTGACCCGCCCGTGTGTAATCACTACCAGCCCGCATACCCGCCTGTAAAATTCCAGAACGTGAAAATCCGCCCGTTTTGGCAACTATTTGTGGGTACCCTGGCACAGGACTCTGTTGTACTTGTTTTTTACATAAACTGAGAACTCAAAACAGCTGGCTATTGTGCGCTGATGTGGTTCAGCTTCTATTGGATTAAAGGACACGGCTCAAGTGGATTATATGTGTTTGTTCTGTGACAGAGGGGTGTTCTGCTGATGATGAGTCTGTTCTGTGCTTCTATCGCGTTGGAGATGGTTCATGTTAAACTTTTCAGAGATTATACATCTGCAGGTCATACGCATAGACCGTATATATGAATATATGCTAGCCTCTTAGTGCTTTGGCGGTGAATTAGCTACTTCGCAGCGCATAGACCTACATCAGCGTATCAGCGTTTTCAGGCGTCCACACAGTGCCGGATCAGATCTGTACTCAAATGAATTCGTGGGAGCTGGCGGCACCAGATCGTTCCGTCTCTGGAGCCGTTTTCAGTTGGATTAGTATGGGTGAACACTGCATCCACAACGAAAACGACTCAAATACGTACTAGTGTGGACGGGTCCTAAATGTCCTAAATGCCAGCGGAGTAAAGTACGTTTCCTTAAATGCTCTTCTTCAGACTACGGTAAATATTTGGACTGAAGAGAGAGAGAAAGAATCACAACAATGTATACAGGAATTCACTTTTTTGCGTGATAAACACATTGTATATTTATTTTTCTGAACTGAAGTGTTTTGGAAGCCATACAATGCACAATTCTAATCTGATCGAACTACTCCAACCAAAATAAATATGGCATTCATTGTATTTAACTCAAGTGGATGTTGTGTTCTGGCAGTACATAATAAAACTTTTGAGTGCTACCCAGCTTTGCCAATGATTTTTCTAAGTTCGAATAACTAATTACAACAAATCTGACTGAACTGAAGTATTAATCAAAAGCCTAATGTAGCCGTGACTTGCAGAACCATGCAGCACTGCTCTCACCACTGCCGCCATAATCAAAATTCATAAGAAGAGACTTTTCTCCAATTTGAAATTTAATTATTGTTGGTTTCCAGGTACAAGGCGCTGAATGCAAAAACGGGAAATGTGTGGGGAACGTCTGTGCTTCTGTCTGACCTACTCTCTCTGAAACAAATTTTAGCATAATTTATTGAAGATAAGGTTATTGCATGTCTAATATTCAAGCACTTATATAACATTCAGTGGGTGTTCTGTTGCTATGGTGTTGAAAGTTGGGCTGCCTTCTTAACCTAAAAGTGCATAAGACAAGTTAGACTCTTAATTTCACTAAAACATACTCAACATTATATTATATTTAAGCTTTTACAAAATATCTTGCCTATTTTGTCAAGTTTTTAGTTACTTTATTCACTTTACTTGCAATGATAAAAACAAGGGCCAAAACTTGCTTTATTTACGAAGTACTTATAATTTGATAATCAGTGTTGGGAAGGTTACTTTTCAAATGTATTCCCCTACAGATCACAGATTACATACCCCAAAATGTAGTTGGTAACGTAATCCATTAAATTACTTAAAGTGAGTAACGTAATCTGAATACTTTGGATTACTTGGTTAGCTGTAGAGAAGCAAAGACAAGGATATTGTAACATACGATTTTTTTTTTTTTTTGTTAAAAGACAATAAAAAGTCCAGTCTTTACTTAACCATATTAAAAATATTATTGATAGAAGACGAGGAGACACAGTCCACGTAGCATGATTTAGTCCTGTTAAATCCTGTTTGAGACATAGTTTAGACCTGGTTTAGACCTGGTTTAGACCTGGTTTTAGACCTGGTTTTAGACCTGGTTTTAGTCCTGGTTTAGTACTGGTTTAGTCCTGGTTTAGTCCTAGTGTAGACCTAGTTTAGACCTGGTATTAGAGTCCTGGTTTTAGTCCTGGTTTTAGTCCTGGTTTAGTCCTAGTTTAGACCTAGTGTAGACCTGGTTTTAGACCTGGTTTAGACCTGGTTTTAGACCTGGTTAAGGCCTGATTTGGACCTGGTATAGATCTGGTTTTAGACCTAGTTTAGACCTGATTTAGACCTGGTTTAGTGTCCGGCAATGAGTGGAATTACCGAAAAAAGAATTTTAAAAAAAGTGAAAACAGGAAAATACCTCTGTGTATTCCATTTATTTCAACAAAGTAACTGTAATCCAATTACCACTCACTGAAACAGTAACTGTAACTGAATACAGTTACTCATAATTTGTACTTTGATTACGTAACTCCGGTACATGTAATCTGTTACTCCCCAACACTGTTGATAATCAGTAATAAGTCACTTTTATTTTGTTACACACTTTCATTTTATTATATGAAGGGGTAAATGGACAGAAAAATTCTTCTTTATGGAATTTTTGGCTTGATGACACAGGTAAAGGTATTCTGTTTTAAAACTATGCAGTACTTCTTGTATTTTTATACTTTTCTTCTCAACTTTTGTTTCCACAATCTGACTCTTAACTAGGGATGCACCGAAATGAAAATTTGTGGCCGAAACTGAATAAAAATGAAATGCTTGGCCAAATACTGAAACTGAATATCAAAACGCGGTTAACGTTTTTCACTATTTTTTAAATATGGCATAAAAAGCCTAGAATAAATTTGTAGACATGTTTTTAAATGAAAAGTAAATGTTTATTTCTTTCTTTAAATATTACAGTAGCCTTTCCAGTATACCGCTAAGTTTTTTTAAAATTCATATTAGCCTAGGTTTTCAAACAAAACAGCAATTCCAAAAAAAAAAATTAAGTGCATTAAAGTGGATAAACCCACAGCTAATTAATTATTGTCCTTTTGGCACAAGTCTGCGTAACCACAGCAAACAGGCTAATTATGTGATGTAAAATGATGTAAAACTATGATAAATCTTTTCTTTACCACACGTACAATCCCACAAAACCAGGGCCTAATGAGAAAAACATGAAAAACTGTCACACGCACTTTAATTGAGTTGAAAGAGCATGAATAGGGTTATGTCCAGGGTAAAAGAGATTGGGAAGGCATCACTTCCTTATGTAACTCCTTTAGTTCACAATAAAACAGACAGTGGGGTGATATTCCTCTGTGATGTCAGTTTTGATGTTTACCAGATGGAGAAGTGCAGAAAAGAGGCAGCAGTTCAAAAGGGGAGGAAAATCGGGACACTAGTCTTTGAAGCTTCAGTGTATGAATTCACTTAAAAGGGCACGAAACTTTACAAACTTTACACAATTCATCAACAGGGCACAACTGAAATACGCCCTGAAATGACCTGAATTAATGAGACTTTATATCGGCGCTGGAAATGAACTGTAAGCCCAGCTAAACACAACCTCCAACCTGTCCCTGTAGTTGATCACATTTTGTTTTGCCCTAGCACAGATATATTGTATAAGCAGCCAAAATGAGACTGTTGTGTGTTGCCTGTATGTAATTATAAACCATTTATAAACCAGATTCAGGATGTGTTGCTTTTAGCTTTACTGCAAGGGCAAAAGTCCGCAGTGACCTCTGAAAGTTGGGAAAAGCTCTTATAAACTCATCATGGTGAACACTGGTATTATGCATTAGGAAAGTGCTTTTAAAGAAAGCACGCATTTCCCCCCGCCCCATAATGATTGGGAAATTTCAAATGATCATATTTTTCGGACTATAAGGCACACTTAAAATCCTTTAATTTTCTCATAAATCAACAGTGCGCCTTATAATCCAGTGCACCTTATGTACCTTTCTAGTTGTGCTTACTGACCTTGAATCGATTTTATGTGGTACACGGCGCTCAAAAATCTGTCAAAATGTTTTAGTACGACTTTGGTAAGTTACAAAGCCGCTCCGTTTGATGGTTTGTTGAAGCATTACTGCTATCGTAGTCAGGAGTCTCGCAGAACCCAACAGAAGCTGACCGCATCAGCGCACAAGGAGCGAGCTGTTTTTTTTTTTTTTCAGTGCTTATAGTTTATGCAAATGAGCCATGTAGTTTTGAGTATTGAGTAGCGAGTAGCGAGTTACGCTACGATCTGCCAATGGATCATGGACGCCTTGTCTAAGGGATCAGTCTCAAGTGTCGTCCATTTGTTTCACTTAATGCGCTTTATAATCCGGTGCATCTTCTGTATGAAAAGAGATAAGAGAATTCAACATTATTAATATTGTACCTTATAATCTGAAAAATACGACATTAAAGTTCAGAAATGTTGTCAGTTTCTTTTTTTTTTCCTTTCATGTGTCCAGTTAACAAATCAGCCATTTATAGTTTACAGGGTTATTGTTTCTGGAGTGCAGCTGTGTTTCCTATCTCCTGTCATGGCTGGATGAATAGGCTTACACACTGTGGCACTGCCCTGGCTCCTCGCCACACATAACTCACCTGACTGATGTCCATGCTGTTGTCGCAGGTCAGAGGCCGTGCAGAAGTCAGATCGTTTGAGCCCAGGAAGGTGGAGATGATCCCGTTCTGGTCCACCTTACGAATGGTAGTGCCGTCCACAAAGTAGATGAGGCCGTTCTTATCCACCGCGATGCCTGGAGAAAAGAGAAAATATACTATATATTATGGAGGTTTTCTGGTCTCTCTGCTTGCATGACTCAGTCGACAGAACACGAAGGATACATGTGTCAAGCTTGCCTCCCCATTATTCAGGTCACTGCAAAAAGCATATCCATCAATTATTCAAACGCTGCTTTTCTGGTATTAAATAATTTCTCGAGCAGGAGTGGCAAAGGCTGTATTCAAACGGTATATGTGCTTTCAAATCCAGGCCTCAGAGGTGAGGGGTCAATGGGTGGTTTCACTTGTGTTTTCAGTTTTATTTTTTTTTCCCCAACAACAATCGCCAACAATCTGCACACAATTTGAGATACGAAATGGGCGGCCGAGTGGAAATGACAGCTTCGGACAATTTGGGTTTGAAAGGGGTGAAAGACGGGTGGTTTCCATGGTGACAACGGGGTCCAAATTGTGTCTGTGATTGAGTGTCGGCGCGGCCATGGAAGTTGGAAGTCAGACAGTCAAGTCGCTGCAGCCATTTGTCCCAAACTGACGAGGCTGTCAACACATCACTCAGAAATACGTGCCAATTCAAACATAATCAGGAGTCTTCAAGGATGCTTATGATGCTGTTGTAAAAGTTAGTTTGTGTAAAAAAAGATGATAAATTTTCTACTCTCTAGATTTTAAATTTGTCATCATCAAGTCATATGGAGGACAGATGTGCAGTGAACTTAATGATGTTGTTTCCTCTGGATAATTCCACAAATTGCAGAGTTACTAACTATAATCCAGGACAAAACAGCATTTTGACAGTTCTACTCAAACTCTACCATATTCTGACCTGTCTTTAGCTTAGTTTCAATAGCCTGACGAAACAGTCTCACCAGATTTTTGAGACCAGATACACAGAATACCAAATGATAAAATCTGTGGTCAGATATCTTTGTATTAATCTGGAATTTTTTTTCCTCCCTTTTTTTAAACATTTTATTTTATTGCTTTCATTGATTCCTTTCAGTCTGTGTATTTTTTTTGCCAACATTTTTGTTTTGACACAAACGTTTGTCAGATTGCAATTTGAGAAGACAGCATATGGATCTTCACTATATGCATAGGAAATGTGTGAGACAACAATTTATTAAGCTTAGGCCAATTAAAATGTTGTGATGTAACAAACACAATCTACATGAAAAGGATGATGCATTTAAGTAAAACAAAAGCACAGACAGATACAGGCTGGATATGATCAAATATCTCTTGCCTTTGTGAATCCACTGTGTCTGAGTCAGCTCTGGCTCTGCTCTTATCGCTCAAGTAGGGTTTCATTTTTCAATGAAGACTTTAAAAGCCTCTATAGAAGGTGAGTGGTTTGGTTTGACCTGTGGCTAGGTCCGCACAAGATTGCTTTCTGCTAAAACATTGACGAGCCGAGGGAGCCTGCGGTGAATCCTTGGAGCTGGCTATTTGACAGTCTGAGAATCTCCGACAGATGAAAAGTGTCACATTTGAGCAGAGTTCACCAAATGTCTGTGAGGAGGGAAAAATGGAGCCATCTGCTGTTTCTTCTCTGGTCTGCGCTTCCACCCACTCCATCATTAGAGTCTCTCCCTCAGATTGCCTTCACTCAAGCCTTTATCACCATCTGAAGCTCAGCTAGTGCAGTTGGCATTCGCACTGGCCAAAAACTAGTGCAAAACAATTCATCGTAGTCTTTTTCATCCCCAGATTTTGTGGGCAAGTGAGCAGTCCAACCGCACAGGCCCATATGTTTGCAGGCAGGTTGTAGAGCTCTTGTAACTCAGTGTGACGCCTGGCTACTTTCTGAAAAGCAGTCTGAAGAAGCCTGGCACATTAAAGGACACTTTTAATTGATTGTCCATGCCCAATGTGAACGCGAAACATCTTCCATAACAGCTGCCTATTTGGCTGTATTTCGAGAGCAGACATACTTCTTCTAACCTTGACCCACAGCCCAAACACATCCCATGTATTCATTACCTATTGTCCCCATAAATCTGCCTTTCCTCTGCCTGCCACTCATGTCAGAACGCCCCGTGCCCGTCCCGCCCCCTCACTATAGCAGGACATCTTCATTACGTGCAGCCGTACCTTTGGGGCCGGTGAGGGGGGCCTCCGGAGCTTTGCCGCCATCTCCGCAGTGGTTCTCATCGAAGGGCAGGCAATGCTCTCCCGTACCGGCCACCACCTCCGCGTTCGACTGGATGTCCTTGGTGATGCTCAGGGTCTTAGGCCTGTAGATCCTCCGGGAGTTGGTGTCGGACACGTACAGTTGACCGCTCACCGGGTCAGTGGCCAGGTAGTACCGGTGGGCCGGGTTGTTACTGCAGTCAGGACATAGAGCAGGTTATGGTTATAGCAGTGGTTTTCATACAGCATTTCTAAGCCAAGAACATGAAAACAGAGAAGGCTGATTCAATACACAGCTCTTCTAGGCTTTTGAGCATTTTTACACATAACTTATTTTAACTAATTGCATGAAATATAGCTATATAATAACTGCACTATTTACCGCCTTAATAAAACATGAAAAATAAAGACTTAATTCATAATAAACAAATAGTTTATTAAGATTAATTCAGCCTTAGTAACTACAGAATTACGAGGTTATGATTAGAAGTCAGGGTTAGGGTATTAAGTTAGTTACAAAGCTTAAATGATTAATAAATTATTAGTTCATGTAGTTATCATAAAGTACTGTATGCAAATATATTTGTATGTATAAAAACAATACATTTTTATTTTATTTTATTTTAAAGTAACCGTACTCCCACTTAGAGCTGCTCAATTATGAAAAAAAAATCATTATCACGATTATTTTGGACAATATTTAAATCATGATTATTCATGCGATTCTATTTTAGTTACACGATGCATTTATTCAGCATTTCTCTCTCTCAAAAAAAAAAACCTAAACACTTTGTTATTGATAATTTATGCAAAACATTCACATTGAAAATAAATATAGTCTACAAATATGTACCTTAGAGCAGTATTGCCATGTATAAAACATAAATTGAATAAAATATACTTTGAACATAAAATAAGGCATAGAAAAACATAATTGTATCCAAAATAAACTGTATATCCAGCTATTCTACAATCTCTATATTTAAAAAAAATAAAATAAATATACTTATTTATAAAAAAATATCCCAAAATAAACTTTAAATCATTTCCACTTGATTATATGAGTGTGGAGATCGTTTGACACACAAAACGAAATCGCGATCAAAATATGATTAATTGCACAGCCTTACACCTACTGGAAGGCAACATTTTTTTGGTTTACATCACATGTTAATATATTAACAGTGAATTTATTTGTCATCATGTTTAGAAGATATTTGAATAGGGAAAATATAAAGTCACATATTATGTAAGGTGCTCTGATATACTAATAACTTCACCCTGCTTTCTTTTCTTATCTGTAAATAATTGGAGCTGTCTCATTAACACTTGTGGCTAATTGCAGTCATTAAAGCATAATTTTCAAAAACAACCTTAAATTATTAACAGACTCTTGTTTCTCAGAGCATGGCCTGGTTTAATATACAGCCTAAACCTTATTATGGGCTTAAGAAGAGAAGCCTGAGCATGCAGATGGAGTCTATTTATACTTAGGAGTGAGAAACTGAAGATTTTTGCATATAGCTGCAAACAAAAATCTTTCAGAAGACTGTGGGAAAGAAAATTGCATAAGTAAACACATTGGATGCTATTAATGAATGACTATTGCCGCAAGGTTACAATGACTAATAGAGGGGGATTGTCAACACAGTTCATTGGGTTTCAATTAGCCTAATATTAAACCAATTGTCTCACTAGCTCATCTATTTTAGTGTGGTTGGCTGTGGCTTGGTATGGACTCTCAACAGTCCCAACCACTGTGAAGCCAACTGCAGCTTTGGAAGTAAATTTCCCATTTGTTTTGCAGGGTTTTCAATATTTAATATTTAAAAGGCACAACAGAGGTTCACCAGCTATGTGGTTAGGCGGTTGGTTTTAGGGCATAAGCACATTTAAAACTTACAATTTGTTGAAATTTTTGAGGTTTATAAAGTATCAAAACACATAATAAATTAAATCGTCTAATTACCACATTAGCAAGTTGAAACTTTTCTGAAAGTCTATTGAAATAATGAATGGAAATTTTTCTTCTGTCAATGTTGAGGTCCACAGTTTACATAGAATGGAACATTAAAAGAAGTAACGTTGCCATGAAAATCCAACATGTTTCTGGGAGTTGGGCAAAATTGACACTGAAAATTCTGATGACAATCCCATTTCAATCCCACGTAACTTTGTTCTCCTAAAATGCCGTCGTGCTGTTTTCATTTTCAGCCAAAGATAGTATATCAGTCTGCATAATAAGAAATGTCACAGTAAGTGGTAGCATATTTGTATGACTTTTATAGATTAAATGAGGGATATGCTAATAAATCAGTTACGAGAAATAACTGAAATTTCCAAAAATGTAAATCAACCTGGTACATTCTTAAACTACTTTATATGTTAATTCATAGTCTTTAACTTTGAGCGAAAAAATGCTCAAAACAAATTGTCTTTCTTTCAAACTCTTCTCGTAAGTGTGGCTGCTCTGCTTGCACTCAGTCAATGGTGATCACCTGTAAGTGGATAATAAATAAAATAAAATAAACGTGGCAGTGAAATGTCTTTATAAAATGATGAAGGAGCCATAAACTTGATGGCCAATATAAGGATTTGTTTAGTTGCACTAGTGTTAAAGCAACCTGTAGTAGCTGGGGATGACACCGGTTTGTAATTTGGTCCAACGTAAAAAGTTTAGAGGCTGCTCTGACAATGACATTTTTATTGGCCAGAGCCAGTAACAGAGTAACTGGCGAGGGCTATTGTTCCTCACCCATTTGTTCTTCTCTATTATTATTTTTCTTTGCAAATGAAGAGGGTCTAAATGTCGACAAAAAGTTCCCAAACCGGATGCGGGATTGACCGGTCCGGTAAAAAATTTGATAAAACAGATACTGCGACAAAGTGACCCGACTCAACAGCGCCATCTAGAAGTGGACTCTATGGGAGTGAGGACAAGCAAAGTTTGTCACAGGCAAACAAAGTTCGGAACAGTGATAGTGAACAATAAGACATACCAAAAAATGAATTGGCGAATACCTCTAAAACAGAAAGTTGGCCAAATTGGATCAAAAATTCACCATAGTTTTTTACTGCGTGTTTGTAAAACGCTACTAGAACTTGTTTTTTTGGTCCAAATGAGCTCACATTTGGCACGTCACATCTAGAGACATGGGTTTGCAAGTAATTATATGCTTTTTTAGATATTCCTTACGGTCTGCCTGTAGCACACCGGCGAAAACACCTTAATTTCCTGTTTCATTGGTGACTTCTCATGGACACAGGCAAACATATATATATATATATATGTATATAATGTTATAGACATGGGGAATTTTCCACGGTTGGCCAGCAGGGGCGCAAAGACTCTTACACGCAAATGCTTAGCCCGATCATGCTGAAATTTGAATCACTAATGCATGATCTTGGCCTGAATATAATACACTATAAAGCGCGTAAGTGTAAACTGTAGTGTTCCCTACCACAGACATGAAACATCAACATTATCGTACCAAATTTAGGGATTAAATTCTATGCATGGTTACAAGCAAAACAATGTATTACGGACATGGAGCATTTTTCATGGTCGATCAGGAGGGGTGCAAAGTTTAAAAAAAATAATAAAATTAACGGTGCATTGTGTATTCTTCTGATGGAGGATCTGTGGGCCTGGGCAGCTGCCGTGAAGGGACAATAGACAATAGGGCGGTTGCGTGGGAGGGGAATGTGCGTCAGGGCGAGGGTGGCTTTAATTTTTATTATGGTCAGATTTCTGTTTTTATAACAACATTATTAGACGCACATGCTGTTTTGGACCAATTTAAAAATGATAACTTCAACAGCTCCATGTAAATGCAAATGTCTTATTTACTTGCATTTTCTATTTGAGCATATCATCATTTACATTCATGGGTTTCAGACAAAGGGTTCTTTCCTGATTTGAAGGAATGCACATAACTTTGAATGTGAAAATGTCCTCAAAATAACTTCATAAAATAACAAATCAGGAAGAAGTCATTTGCCTGAAACCCATTAAGTTCTGGATATGAGTGATAGAGGTTTTTAAAAGTTTGGAACTTTTGACCCATCTTTCAATGTCACGCGGGGGACCTGTTAGGAGCAGTGGGGAACCCATCTCCAAAACTTGAGCAGGTTAATTAGGTTAAAGGCATTGTACCAGATTTTTAATGTCTTAAAATGTGAAAAACTGTAATAGTAAACAGTTTGTAGTGGTCCAAAGTATTCACAAATTTCAGAGGTCTGTGTAGAGTTTTGTTGTCGCACTAACGAGAACACTTGCGGGTAAAAAGGACAAAATATTTTATCGGAAGTGCCTTTCGTTTAGATGGTGACGGTGTTTTTGGGGCTTAAAAACACAAAAATCTGAAACCACCCTCCAGAGTGGAAAAGTTGCCGTACTGTTTCCGTCTACACTGCCCAAGACGCAAACAACTCTGGTCAGATCTGCTCACGTCGCATACGTGTTTACGTCGCATACACCACCACCTAGCGTCATCCCCTAATCACCAATCGAATTCCACACACTTTTGCGTCACCGTAGGCACGCAGATTTCCTCCTGAAAACGCTCGTCTAAACCCGGAATAAAAAGTGAATACACGAGGCAAATTTTGAATCTTCTGTTCACACCGTCACCATATAAACGTATCCTAAAGCTAACTAGTGTGAACCAGCATGCTAACAGCATACTTCCTGGCTCTCTGAATATAAAATGTTTTAAAATTATATAAAATGTTTTAAAATTAGAGGCAGACAGTGCACAGCAGTCTCAATTTCACCCTAAGAGCTGCTTTTACAATATATCTACACTCGAGCAAGACATATTATGATCAAATAAATACATTTTTAGTTTGATGAAACCACAGTACCCAGAGATGTCCATTTAGGGTACTTTTTTTGTTGCGAGAACTATTGGTGACTCAAATGGTGCGAGTGTTGTCAGTATGAAATAATGTCAGAGGGCTAAACATGCTAGGGGCAGATTAGCATGCGGCCGCTTTGATCAGGACACATCAATAGAATTTCCCGTGCTGTTTATTTTTCACTCTGATGTACCCTGATGTGACCCGCGAGCAGGTGTTGGCGCAGGTGTCCGCTCCATCTATACATTAAACCATTACAAGAGATCACAGCCGGCATCCGCTCACAGACGCTTACTGCCAGCTGATCCAGACAGCGGCAGCCATTATGGGGCATACCATCTGGGGAGATTAGCATACAGCTTTGTACAATAGATGCGTCTGGCTGTGTCATTTAAAACTGATAGGAGTAAATACATGTCCTGGAGGCAAAGTTCAAGTAAAGTGGACTATATTTCCTCATTCATCAGCCAATTACAGTGGGGCAGAACGATTTTCGACAAATATCAAATAGCGATTGAGTTTAGATTTGCAATTTTATGTTTGAATAATTGTGTTCTATTCAATTTTAAACACACAAAAAAGTGACACACAGACTAAAATATGAATTCACATATTAATACAAGAACATATTTATACAGATATTACCTGGCAGTGTCACTGAAAATGAAAATGTCATTTTCCAGGCCTGGAAATGTCATAGAGTTTTGTAAATTCAATGAACGTTTTCAAAAAGTTATGGAATTTTAGTACCATATTTTTCGCACTATTAGGCGCTCTGAATTATAAGGCGCACTGTCATTGAATGGTCTATTTTCGAACTTTTTTCATAACTAAACCGCACCAGACTTTAAACGAAACACAACAGTTGGATGGGTCAGTCAGACTTTGTTTGGCGCGTTCACAGTGACTCTGGGCTTTGTTCAGTTGTGGCGTGTAGGGAGGGTGCTGTCTGGGACCGCTGGATTGTCGACGTGTTCGCAGTGACTCAGTTGTTCAGTTGTGGCTAGAAGTGGCACATTGCACTCACTTTTTCAGTTCATTCCACCATTCCATTCCTCGTGGAGTGATGAGTGTGACTGTGAGTGTGTTTCGCTATGTGGTCGCTGTCTGCTCCGTGTGTGTTTGCGTGCGCTGCGGGTGGTGCGGCTTTGTAGTTTACTGAAGTCGTACTGAGATACCCGAGTGGATTTGTGTACAGGGTGCTCTGGATTGCGGGGTGTGCAGTCTTTTTTTTTTACGGGGTTGGAGGCTTAAGAGCGAACCCAATAGTGCGGAAAATAAGGTATCTCTTTCATGCAACTACAGCGTTCTGTTAAGTTATCATTAGGCTATTATGATTATTTCCGAATGTATGCGCCTTTTGTTTAATAAAAGAGACGACAATAAATGCACTGACAGTATTTTGAATGTAAAAAAATATAATACCAAACCATAAGATGAGTGGAAAGGGTTAACATTTCATATTTAGCCCTAAAATTATGCAAAATTCTACACATATAGGGTGCCGTAAAGTCATGGAAAATTCACTTTAGGTCATGAAAAAGACAGAAAAGTTTTGAAATTTTGTCAGTGAAAAAGAGTTCGAACTCTGTATTACCCTGTTAGCAGTTTTTATGTGGAATAAGAATTATTTTGTTTGTGGAGGAAATTATAATACTTTAAAAAATGCAGCCTTTGAGATTTGCTAATTGCGTCCATGTAAATTATGATTTCGATTAGATTGTGTTTAATCTTGCAAGAGTAATTTCTGCCGTCAAATCATGTTCATTACTGCATTCTTGTTTTAGCATGCCAGACATGTTGCTTAAATAGCTAGCTTTTTGTCATGGTTAATTCCCACTGCTGCCAGTAGACGCCCAAATCCAGATGAGGCAACACCTGAATGATGGAAAGATACTCAAGTCCATGTTTAAATGACTTTCTGCTGGTCTAAAATACTTATAATGCAAAAATGTATAATGTATTTTAGACAGCATATATATAATGTGTATAGTGCAGTGTGAGTGGTACATTATGTGCCCTAGAATCACAGTTTAAGTGGTTGCCAGTGGTGCTATGGAGCTTGTATTGAACTGCCTGAAACACAAGTCGACAGTGGACGACCTGCTTGTTCTTTCTGTCTGACCTCATTCACAGTTTGTCTCCTGCAGTGATGCAGGTGCGACAATAGATCAACTACAACAGCTCTTTATGCCTCCGCAGTTGATAATTGAATCATCAGTTACTTAATATTCCGCATTAAATGCCGCCCCGTGTACCCCACTGATTTAGTGTCTCCTGGATTGTCAGTTTATCTTTGGCTGATCTAATGGTGCCTTATTCATGAATACAGAACAACTGAGTAAGCACCTGAGGGACAGCACATCTGCCAAGCGTCATAATGGAGATGTGATTATGTTCTCCACGATGGCCCTGTACGCTGCGCTGTTTTACTGGACTGGATTACAGCACAGGCTATGCACCATTTACTTTACACTTTTTGTTTTTAGAGATCATATTAATATAGGCAGCTCTGAATAAAACATTGCATTATTTTTGCAGAACAATGCGAATGCAAGATACCAGCCTACCCATTTTTGCTTATACTTAAAAGAAACTGTATATAAGATTTAGATTTTAAATTCCATAAACACGACCTAGATATGAATAACATGCACAAATCAAATACGGGTTTTGCAGATAACAACTGTAGTCTTTATTCTTGATTACAAAAACACTGGACATGATGGACACGTTGTTTATGTTATAATTAGGGATGGGCATTCGATGAAATTTTCTTAATCGATCGTCGGAAGAATTAACGATCGATTATCGATTAATCATTAATGTTTTTATATTAAAATGATCATCATTATCATTACTATCTGCACTACTAATCTGCATAAATAAATTCAACTTTACGACATATAAACCGTAACGACTCTAGAGCCACATCAATCCATTTGACATTATAATGTGTTTAATTAATTTTTGCGCAACTCTCACAGAAACGAAACTTAAAACCGCTTCGCTAATTTGCATAAACTCAGCGAAGATAAAACTACAGCTCTTGTGTCGCTGATGTGGTCCATTTCTGTCAGATTAAAAGACTTGATTCAGTGGAATACAGGTTAGTGTGACCATATTTGCGTTTGTCAAAACCAGGACACCGTACGGGGGTTGGGAGGTGGGGACTCGTCATCGACATTGCGCGACTCTCACCTGGCAAAGCTTTTTCCCACTGGACACCGAAACATATGTGCTGCTTTGTACACTGTGCACATGGCCTCCCACTTGTCCTGACTGGAACGGAAAGCGTGGAATTTCTTGCACAAGTCATCGTTAAATACGCATTTGCGCTTCAGCGTGTTGCAGGTGGACCGACTGTTTGTGTTTGCTCGCTCCTTCTGATGCAGAGAGACACATGTACAGACCCCTGTTTGGTCACACTACGCACAGCAACCTACATTCGGTTTATCGATTAAAATTTACGTAATCGATGAAATTCTTAATGATCAATTATCGATTAATCGATTAATCATGCCCATCCCTAGTTATAATAGGCTCTATTCACGCTTGCGTCACAAACCAGGAAGATGTTTGGAAAGATGCGATTACAACTTCCCAGGCCCAGTTTTCTTCATCTTCATGTCATTGTAGCGTTCCATTATGTTCGGCTAATCAGCAATTCCAACCATACCTCAGTTTTCATCATTTCCCCACTGACGCACAACTCCAAGCACACTCGGTACATGCGAATAGAAGAGATAAGGGCGACAATTTCAAGATGATTCCAAACAGCACAAACATATGCAGTCTTCATTTTACCGCTGATGAAGTTGTAGTCGCATTTTTCCAAACATCTTCCTGTTTTGTGGCGTAACGTGAATAAAGCCTATTGTGTGTTTTGGTCTCAAGATGATTATCCAGTCAGAAAGCAGAATGAGAGTTGCCCATTTCATTGTTGAACTCCAGTCGGTTTAAATCTAAAAGGACTCTCTCTGTTCTGATGCCTCGCTACCTGAACCCCAGCGCCTGCAGCCAATCATGAAGCACCTTTGCATTATTACTTTTGTTTCATCAACTAAGCTAGTGTGGCACATTGCATGGTGACAATGATGAAGACTCTTTTCTTACTAACACAACTGTCTATTTGCTATTATTTGGAAGCCTCAAACTCTGGAACACACTGCGCCCCCCACAGTTTTTTCTGTGGCTTTTAATACTGTATGAGTTGTGTGATCCTGTGTCTTTACTTTATTTATTGTATTTATTTATTGTTGTTTTTTTTGTGCATTTAGGTATTGATTTTATTATTTTTGTTCATTAATTTTATTATTATTATTTTATTTATTTATTCTATTAGTTTCCTCTTGGTTGGAAAATAATTCTGCTTTTTTTTTTTTTTGGTTTACATTGCTATGTAAAGCACTTTGGAAACTGTCTTGTTTATAAAATGTGCTATACAAATAAAGTTGGATTGGATTGGATTAAGAGCTCACATATTTGCAGTTTTTGCAGTTTTGACCACTATGATCTCATTAAAGATCAGTGATCCAAAGTCCTTTGAATTTTGGGGGAATTTATGCATAATGCTTTATATGCTCAAAGTGAAAAATCTTATTTGTCAAGCAGTAGCGTATTAATGTTCTTTATATTAAATACAAAGTTAATTTATGAACTCAAATACAGCTCCCCCCACAGTTTCTACACGCCTCAAAAGTTTCTTGAAAATATTGACAGTGTAACAACATGCATGTCTGTAACATAAACTATGATATGTACAACACAAATGGAAAAAGCATGCAGTGATCGAAGAAGACGTACCTGTGTCTAAAGTCTTTATTTCTATGGAGAGATGCAGAGGGAAAAGAGAAAGAGAAAATGAGTTAGAACCACCAAACCATAACCATAGACTTTCCTTATTCCATTCATATTTTGTTTGTTTTGTGTTATTTATTTATTTTTTTCATAATCCGAGCTGCTTATTCCCATCAGAAAAGCATGGAGAATAAACAACGTCTGGGCCAAAGCAGCTCTCAGACAATCACTGCTCTCCTGCCCAGAGTCCAGACATCAGAATGGAGAAGTGACAGCAGAGTATCCCCTTGAAGGCACATGCACAGATAGACAGAGCAGAGTGAGAGGAGGGAGAGGAGGGGAACGGGGAGCTGTGGCTGTGACCGGACTGCCCACGCCACAGGGAAGACTATACCAGCTCACATCTCCATACACCCTCTCTGTTTGACCGCTGCTATTGAAATATTGATTCACACACTTGTTGCACTGGCCACCAAAGCCCTGACCAGATACGCCCATGATAAATGTGGCCATATGTCATGTAATATCATATGAAGTTTAGAGCATATGCTGTCTGTGTCAGAGTTATGAAAAATGCCATAAAAATAACTCTATAATTTGATTTATTAAAGTCCTAAAATGGCTTCTAAAACAGGAAGCTGAAACACTGAAGTAGCTTTAATAAGATAATTGATCATTACATTCTTTGTAACAATATATTGCGCTAAAAATGTGTTTTCATAAGAAGCCTGCCTACATTAGAGAAGATCAAAGTACAGTTGATTTTGTTTGAGTGAATGGGAGTTTGTATGAATGAGCTTGGGGAGTGTAAAAGGGGCAAAGTGAAAAGTGCTGAACTGAAGTTGGTGTACAGCAGCATCACTAATGGTTACATTTACACAGCCATTTCTACCTCGCCGTTGGGCACACAAAGAGGTGTTACATCAGAGAAGCACTCACCCATTCACGCCCATTCATACACCAGCGTAGGCTGGCAAAACCAGTGGTTACAAAGTTTGAACCGGCAGCCGTCAGGTCAGTGGGCAAATGCTGTGCAAAGTAAGCCATTGCCACCCAGGGCCATTAACAACTGAGGGCAGAGACATTTTTTTGCCATTTACTTTCAGGTTCTAAAGTATAATAACATTTTTTTATTTCACTTTACATTATTATATTACCATAATTTCAAATGTGATGTGATTGACTATCCATCGGCAAATGGATATTTTGTCACTTCCTACATTTCAATATCTGAATTTTCAATAAACCAGGACAGGGCAGAGAATTATGGCTGTCCTATTTAAGAGCAAAGGACTTAAATATCCTCTATTTTACCACATAAGCAAAACAAATGTGGAGCAAAGCGAGATGGACTTCCTCTTGGACTTGTGCTAGTTTAAATCTGTTTGCATACGTGCATAGCTCTGCATACATCAGTGCGGACTATAGTATATTTAATGTAGCTGACAGTAGCTCTCATGGTGCTCTTTTGTTTTGTTCTTGTGTAATTGCAGTAAAAGAGCTGCTGGGAAACAAGTCCTCCTTAAAGCATTATTTAGCACGGCCTCTTCACTACTACACTTGTATCTCTAGTGCTCCTTCACAACATTTCTGCTTTCACGCCAATTCTCTGTAAATTAGATTTGATTCTTAATAAAGTAGAACAAATTAAAGGGGCACTTTGTAACCTGTCAGGTCAAGGGTGTAAATGGAGATGTTTTGCTTAGTCAAATGTTCAAATGTTCTACAATATGGAATTAATCGATCCATCTTTGCAGGAACAAGCAGGTGAAACCACAGGACCAAGTCATTGTTTAGCAATAAAATTTCATAAATGCAAATACATTTAATGCCATACTGTGAAATATTCCAGCCACACATGAGAAATTACATAATAGTCCACTTTTAAGTTCTATATATTTCATGTACACTATAATGAATATTTTTTGTTTAATGCTAGAACAATACTATGAACCTCTGATTAACTGAATACATTTTATGGCTGCTGCTTTCAGACCTAAAGACCCAAATAACTTCTTTTTCACAAGCTGATTAATGATGCTCTTTAGGTTAAACATATCTCTAATTATATTAAAAAAGAAATGTCACATTTTATTTATTATTTCATAAGTAAGTAGCTGTTAAGTAATTTTTCCTGAGCCAGTGTATGCATCTGCAGTGGACTGTGACCCGATGTACATGCAGTCAACATCTGCCACTCTGCAAAGAGCCAAGCGGCCTAAACGGAGCCATTCTGAGAGGTGCCAGCTTGGCACAAGGGCATAAATCATCCCAATTACAGCTGAAGACAGGATGTCTGTCCTCATTATGGAGACAGAGAGGAAAAAGATTTCACATTTCAATGGCTCGAGGACACACTGATGTCACTACACGCCTCAACACTCAAACATTTTACTTTGCTCATCACTCACAGTTTAAATAATTACGTTTAGATTATCAACGCAAAATGTGGAGGATTTATTTTTATTATTCCCCATAAACTGACTCAAGTTATGTACCTGCTCAGAACATCAATTGTCTGTGTTTTACAATGGCCATGTTCACACATTTCAGGTTTGGTCCAGGTTTAGTTCTGGTTTTAGTCCTTATCTTGATGTGTATGTGTGCAAGTGAAGAGTTTTTATTGGACCAAAGTTATTTTCTCAACAGTCCAGCAGGATACATAACACAAATACATTTAAAGGGATACACTTGTTTTTGTATTACCAATCAAGGCAAAAGTGCAAAGTGTAATTTTATCATCATTATCATGCGCTCACTTTTCTCTGATATTGACATGCTTTCATTTGTTTTTTACAAGTGGTATAAGCCAGTGTCTGTTTGTCTGTCTATATTCTAACAATTTCCTGTAACAAAAACACATATTGAAGTGTGATATATTGCCACAGAAAATAGCGCTACATCAAGACTACTTGATACCACTGACACAATAATCCTAAACATTGATAATATCAGTAAACCTTTTTAGAAGCTCAGTTTTGTACTTCTATTTTACAAGTAATTATTATGGCAAGCCTAATTCCACTGCCAGTCAGATGTTTGGACACACTTATTCATTTATTTGTTTATGTTTCTTCTAGATTTCCATGATTATTTACAGTGAAGTAAAGTGAGAGGCCAAAGGTTTGCATCACTGTAAACAAAGCAAAAGGTGTCTGCGAGATATTTAACGTTTTTCTTTGCTACATAATTATATAGATATTTTTTTCATATATTTGATGTCTTCTGTATGTATCTAAAATGTCGAAAGTAGTAAATATACATAAAACAAGCATTAAATGGGGAGGTGTGTCCAAACTTTTGACTGGTAGTGTAAATTCAGCCATATATAACACCATAAACCAGCTGTTTTTTCTGTCCTCCTTCATACCTGAGCTCCATGATGCTGGTCACATTGCCGGACGGGTAGATGCGGCGGATGTAGTTGAAGTCTCCCACGTAGAGGCTGCCGTCGATGCCCCAGGCCAGAGCCACGGGGGCCAGCAGCTTGTTGCCCAGAGCCTGGCCGTTACAGCTGGGGCACGAGATGCTCCGGCGACGTCCGTTCCCCATCACTGTGGAGATGACCGGGGGCTGCAGAGAGATGAACTGGTTCTCCCCGCTGCCTTTGTACAGAATACCTGCAGCACAGACAAAAGGCAGAAGAATTACACAATAATAATAAGTGTAATAACTAATAAATCTTGGCTTGTATTTTTGAGCAATCACGTATGGAGCTTTGGCGATTTTCAATTAAAGCAGCTCAGTTATAGAAATCCTGACTACTTGAAACTACTATTTATGCACTTTTAAACATAATTTATTAGTAGCAATGGGCGATGCATCGGTTCTAATATCGGTATTAGCAATATCAGAGGGTGTTTCCCCTATATCTTTACTAATAAATTATCACATTTAACAGTTCACTGACTCAAATAATCACATGCATAGATTATTTTTATTTTAACTTTTAAGTACATTTTTGAACTTAAAACTTTACGTACATTTATTAATACTGCTATAAAGTTTCCAATCTTATATCAGCATTATTTGTAATGTTTTGTAAATCATGTTTTAAAAGCCACTGTCGATTCAACAAGTGCTTTTGAAAAGCTAAATGAGCGGCCACATATTTCACAACAGAATTCTATTAACATTTTTGTCTAATTGCACTGTTTTGCAATTGAGTAGAGTTATAATTATAATAACGTTTTAAATGATTGATTAAATGTACAGGCATAGATTAGATCAGGGGTGGGCAAACTTTTTGGCTCGGGGGCCACATAGGGTTCTAAAATTTGATTGAAGGGCCGGACAGAAGACGGGACATGACGTGTTCAGAGCCCGGCTCCATTGCACTCCTATTTACGCTCATGTAGGACGTATTCTGCACTACGCGCTGCAACTTTTAGACATGTAAGTTCCAGAACTCATGAAAAGTGAAATGAGGTCTGACCCACTGGTCACCAAAGGCAAGCATGTGTCCCGAGCACGTAGACAGAGCGCCTACACATCATTCAGCCCATGTTAACGCGTAGAAAAACCAAACCTTTAAGACTTTCTAATACAGTACATATGAATTTTATGAGTTTGTTTAACACAGATTTAAAGTGGAAACAGTGCAGCCTTATGTCTTGAACACTTCTACCTCATTCATGGTCTGAATACAATGCCTGAAAATGACTCCTGTCAATACTTTCCCATAAAGCATTGCGACCAACAGAAGACGCCGCACCTCAATGTATATATAGTGCGCCATCTACTGGGAAATGCCGGAAATGCAGGAAAAATAAAACATTAACAAGGTTTATTATTATAATTAATTCAAGTTCGGCGGGCCGGATTAAAAGGTTTAAAGGGCCGCATACAGCCCCCGGGCCGTAGTTTGCCCATCCCTGGATTAGATCCTCGGATGATGCCCACTGCTGCAGCATTAAAAGTCAATCTTCACCCACACACTGAAAAAACAACAAAAGATTTAACTAAATGAACTAAACACAATTATCATGTCAGGTAATGCCAGTAACAATTTGTCACAAAAATACGCCCCCTATAGTACACTAACTTTGAAACTTTGACAGCAAGGTGTAAGATGTCTGTCAACAAAATCAGAATGAACACATACAAAATCATCACTTGTCATGATATTATCAGGTATGACTCGTTCATCTCAATAATTATGGATTCAACTATGAGATGATTGACAGCTGTATAGTTTACAAGTCAGCGGGGGCACTGACAAGTTTAAAACACTGTTCAAAAGTTAATTTAATATGAGGTTTTATATTATGTAGCAATGGAAAAAGTAACTATTTTCAATCAAAAAACATACAGTAGGTCTATCAAATCAATAAAGTTGTTTTAGCAGATGTGAAAGTGTCTGATTAATCCTGGTTTGATCCTGGTTTAGTCCTGATATAGACTTGGCTTGTTCCCATTCTAGTCCTGGTTTAGTCCTTTTCTAGTCCAAGTTTAGTCCCAGCAAATCCCGAAGATACTTTACAGTTCAGGTCTGTGAAGAGTCGTTCCTATTCACAGAAGGAATTATTGCATTTTTGGGTAACAGAAACACAGGTATAAAAGAATGGAACATTCAAGGGAAATCAATAACATCTCCATGAAGACAAGCAGATAGTGGACCCTCCATCAGAAAAGTTACGCAGTGCACCTTTAAACAAAATCGTATTATTGAAAAGTAATTGCAAATCTAACCTCAATCACAATGCTAGTTTTGTTATACTATGCTGTTATCAGTAGGGGTGTAATGGTACGTGTATTTGTGCCGAACCTTTTCGGTGCAGGGCTGTGAACGAGTGAATTCACTCAATTTGTGTGTCTTTACATTCTGCCACTACATGTGCAGCTACACGGAAGGCTCGGCTCTTTAATATTCACAAGGGAACTCGTCTGTGATTGGGGTGGCAGTGTTTCCCGCAGCGCTTTATAGTTAGAGCGCCCACCTTGACAACATTTGACCCCCGACTTGACTACGTCCCTTTGAACCACGTGAATCTTGGCAAAATTACAGTTGTCGCGCCCTGATCCTCACTTTTGCCTTTTGTCGGCACAGAATCTATGCCCCCCCGCCCATACCCGCAACCTCTGTCCTTAGCGAAAGTTTATTCTCAACCGCTGGGGACATTATAACTGCAGCAGATCTGCACTTACTGCAGACAATGTGGACAAGTTGTTTTTTCTGACCAGAAATATGGAGAGTAAAATTTCATGCTGGAACTGTTAGGGCTGCACTTTACTTTTTGAAAATTTTTGTTTACAGTTTACAAGGAATTGATTTTTTATAATATTTAATACATTTATTGCTTATTTGAGAATACTTTATTTAACTTATTAGTATTACCAAGCAGCACTTTGCATTTATTTTATTTTCGTGTTTGTATAATGTTAAAACAAATTGTTGGTTTAATAAACACACAAACAAACAACAAGTAAATAGTTTTACATTCTGTTCCCACTCTGTACTGAAAATGCACCGAAGCATGACTTCAAACCCAAGGTACATACCGAACTGTGATTTTTGAGTACTGTTACACCCCTAGTTATTATTTCCACCATTTTGTCATTAGCGTGGACAATGCATTGAGACCAAAACTAGCTATCCTGTGGTTCATGGGCAGAAGCATAACCCACCAGACTATTTCTACATTCAAAACAACCTTTCTATTTTAATTCTATTTACATCAGAGCCTGGGAGAAGACTATGCCTTCCATGGCGCTTCTAATAGGATGCGTAGAACAAATGTGGTGAGTCATTGCAGATAAGGATTGCGCGCGGCCGCAGACAGAGCAGGATTTTGGGGGTTACTCTGTTCAAAGGGGGAACATCAAAGAGGGCCATGCGCACTGCCAGCTCTTCATTATTCACACACGCACACAGACACACACACACAGTTCACTCAGCTCTGCCCTAATTAGACAGTCTACGACACCACAACACCACCCAGGCCCCAGTACTGTCCCCAAGCTCAGGGTATGATGTACTCCAACAGACTGTGTACTGGTGCTTCTAAACAGGATTGAAAAATGGATGTATTGAGTAGTGCTGCACAATTTTGGCAAAATATGTAGATGTGATATTTCTAATAAGCACTGCAATTACGTTTCCATTTGCGATTTATGTTTAGATGCCAGGATTGTGTTCAAAGTTCACCTTTTAAACATGTCCAGAAGTATTTGAGAGAAGACTGAAATCTCAGTGTTCCCACTCTTTTTCACTGGCAAAATTTCAAAACTTTTCCATGACCTAAAGTGAATTTTCCATGACTTTACCGCACCTACATGTGTAGAATTGATTATATTTTTAGGGCTAAATATGAAATGTTAACCCTTTCTGGTTTGATATTATAGTTTTTTAACATTCAAAATACTGTCAGTGTATTTATTGTCGTCTCTTTTAAACAAAAGCATAAGAGCCTAATGAGAACTTAACAGAATACTGTAGTTGCATGAAAGAGATACTAAAATTCCATAACTTTTCCAAAACTTTAAATGAATTTACAAAATATCATGACTTTTCCAAGCCTGGAAAATAACATTTTTAATTTCTATGACTTTTACAGAATTTCCATGGCCCGTGGAAACCCTGGAAATTTGAACTGCTAAAACAAAGTCAAAGCATTTCAGAACATTTTTAGTTTAGAACAATTTCTAAACTGCAGGGTTAGTAGCTTTCTTTACATAATAAGAGATATTTTTTTGTTTGCAGATGAAATGATGTTACATAAAGGTGCACTGTGTAACTTTTCACCTCTTTGTTTCTGTCCATGCTCTGCCTGGAATATTCCACAGTGTGACATTAAACAGCTCTATCTGACGTTAATTATATTATAGATCTAAAATATCTAGAAAAACACACATTCTGACTGTGAGAGGGGTCACCTCTCCACAGATCTGACCTGTAACTTGGTATGTTTAGGTCTCCATGTAGATAGAAAGGTTTAATACCACAGTGTGAAACATTCCAGACAAAGCAATGACATCTCCACGGAGAAAAGCATTTGACGGACCCTTCAACAGAAAAGTTACATGATGCATCTTTAATTAATCATAGTCTTTGTTGTGATTAAAATTTTGTTTTGATTGTGATTAATCTTGCAGCTCTAGTACTGGGATGTAATTATGCATTTTCAAACTACTGGAAATCAGTAAAAGGAGAGTCATTTGAATTGTTGGGAGGTTAAAACACATTGTAATATCACTTCAAAGCAGCCAATCTGGTCCATTTCTTTTTCAGAAGCAGTGGATCACAACAACCCAGCGCCTAAAGCAGGGATGGGCATGATTAGTCGACTAATTGATAATTGATTGTTAATAATTTCGGCGATCACGTTCATTTTTAAATGACAAACCGAATGGAGGTTGCTGTGTGTAGCGTAGCATAATGAGATGAAGCTGCTTCTGACAGTGCGACAGTCCCACGTTTTGGCTCTGGCACTAAATCACTATATCCCGCAAGGAGTGCGTTTACTGCTGCAACATAAAGTTGAGTGTGCATGCGTCCATGAAGTCCAACACTTTTCAGTCTTTTATCACAACAGTAGCCAAAATAAATAAAGTGACCAACATAAATAAAGTTAAATAAAGAGCTGCGCTAAACCTGCACATGTACGATCTCTGAAAATAT